CGTTAACCTGTCGGGTTACAAGATCCGGTTAAGTAAAATCTCAGATCAGACTTTAAACAGCGATTACGTAACTGATCGTGGTGGTTATGCTAGGGGGGTTCGGCTAATTTCGATGGGGTTATGCCGGGAAATGGGTTTTGAAGATCGGAAATTTTAAACGATAAAAGATGTGCAGCTATGACGGCATTCTTTCGTCATAACGTAATTAGCATTACGTATTATACATAATATTATCCGGAAGTTTAGATTTATATGATTAATATGATTACGTAGAAATAATACTAATACCAAAATGGTAATCATTTTTGATAATCCATTCCAATAATCTTTTTAAGTTATTCTTATCCTCCAATAATATCATTGTACTTAATACCGTGCGCCACGTTATCAATTTTGAGGCTGTGTTTTTGTCAATCTTTTTTAAAAAAAATAAAAAAAATACTTAATACATATGTATATTCATATGTATGTACTGAGCAATGAAACTTAATTTTTAATATATTCACAGGTACAAACCTAACTTTATTTATCGTAATTTTACTTTAAATAAAAATCGAGGGAATTGAAAATAAAGTAAAATTGGTAAAGTCATTGCGATGTATATGTATATCGATATGGAAATACTGACAGTATATTTTCAACTAAATTGTACATAAGCCACGAGATTAACAATATTTTTTTAACATCGCGCGTCGATCAAATTATATCTTTTCAATTCATCACATTCTGTGAATCTGTGAAACTACGTAGTAAAATTACATAAACAATTTATTAATTTAAGGGTGTGTATTTGATGTAATTTTGTTATCGTTATGCGTAGAGTTAAATAAAGTAGAGTTAAATAAACAGGGAATAACTAAAAAAGCTTGCATTTAAAGAATTTTTGCAACACTTGTTAATGTGTATGTATTTAAAACATTAACTAACATTACCTAACATTAACTAACATTAACTAACATTAACTAACATTAACGTTTTAGAATCTATAATATCGGAATTTCGTATTAATATACACTTCTTCAATTATGTCTAGAGGTTAGAGGTTCAAGCGAATCGTCCCAATGATGCCGTAACTTTGCCGTAACTATATCAGATATTAAATAATTATAAAGTTACGGCAAACATGCCGTAACTATTTAATATAGTTACGGCATGTTACGGCAAAGTTACGACATCATTGGGACGATTCGCCTGCACCTCTAGTCTTAACGCATAATTCTTTAGGACGGATATCCAATTTTGTGATTGAAAATTTATATATATATATATTTATATAAATATATATATATATATAGAAATTTTTAAATTTTTTAAATTTTAAAAAATAATTTACTTTCTTGAGAATATATTCATTTAATATGACGTTATGCGCGTTTCTTTATTAATAAAAGCAATCTTTGGTAGAAGATTAATTATATGCGTCATTGATTAGAACTCAATTTTGGTCTTTGATTAGAACTTGGCCTTAAAATAAACTTAATACTCACGCCAAATCATTTTACTAAATATAGTCAATGTATGCTTTATACGTGTGTACGTAAGTGTAAATAATTCTTTGATAACATAGTATCTACATATATACAGAATTTCGCTACCTATTTAAATACTCTTTTTTTTTCTTAATAAATAAATAATAAATTGTTTAAAAAATCTCGTTAAGGTATACTTTGTCTCATTATAGTCCAAGAAGGATGTACTTTGTAATTTACTGTATTTAGTAGTTCTTAGCCTTTAAAAAAATAAAGTGATTCTGATTTTGATTGACGATAAATGCTGTGATAAATCTGATAAAATCTGATAAATCATCATACGATAACTAATATCGATATAAGATAACGATAAAATAATTACTTCTGTATGAAGAAATTCATTAACTCCTAATTACGGAAACATGTACTGCGCAATAAAGATAGAAACCAAGAACACAATTCCATCTAAAAATAGAATTAATCTAGACTAAAATGAGCATGTCAAACTCCCATTGTCAAATTAATCTTGTCTTGGCAAATTTTCCTTGGCATATTACTGTAAGTATCTGGAAATTTAAGACGATTAGTTTCGATAAATTTTGTTTTTTAAAATGATATTGTTTAGTATTTGAGGGGTGGAAGGGTATTAATTGTGTAACTACTTCACCATACCATACACCATACCATACGGATAATACTTTGTTATCATTGTTTTTCTTTAAAAAACTATCAAATTTTCCTCAAGTCATGCATGCGTGCACATAATTAACATAATTAATACATGCATACCGTTTTGGAAAAATAATACCTAACTCATACATATCCGTTGTCATCTCTATTTTTGATATCGGTAAGGCTTAGAAATGTTCTGATGCGAAAAAAATAAAGAAATCTCTTTTATAAAGCAATAAATCCTTTTATTATATAACGATAGTTATGTTGTAGGACAAAAAGATTAATATAAACGTTCTAATTTTAGGATCTACGCGCGTACGTTTGTATGTGTAAAGAACTTGAGCACTGTGTGTGCAATTGTTTTTATATGTACACATATATATATATATATATATATATATATATACATACTATATTTATCTAATATATATCTGATATAATATACGTTATCTGATTCATACTGTGTATACTGTGTATTTGTGCACCAAAATTCCTTTTTTCTTATATAAACATCCAATACTAACTGTGTCGGCAACCATCGGCTGTATTGTGTAGCCAACTTTTTATTAGCGTTCTATAATTGTTAAAAGTTCAACCGCCATTGATTTTCGAAATTATTAATATTTATTAGTTCGTAAAACATAATCTAATATATTTATATAATACTTACGTATATTTGTGACGATCAAAAGTCAAATTGTGATATTAAGAAATTTCGGAACGTTTGAAGTTAGTACAATTTAATAGTATTACATTCATCTATCGGGTAAAAAAAAAAGTATAAAGTTCTAACATTTCTTCCCATTTTTTTTCTTTTTTTTTTTTTTTTTTTTTGTTTTATATTTGTTTATAATTAGGTTGTGAAGTCGTCGTCGTCGTCTTATTTAAAAAAAAACCATTATATTTTTTTAGTTTTTTCCGGCTTGGCAAATATTTTTATTTAAAATGGGGCATACACAATCCAGTGGAGACGTTCCATCTCTATCTCTGGATAAATCACTACCATCTGTACCTACATTAGTTCTAGATAACCATAATAAAAATCCAATAATATGTAATAATTTACCCACTTCAACTTATAACTCTAAAGAAAAATTTTTGTCCTCAAAATCAAATTTTGTCATGTCTCCCGTGGCGGAAGGATATGAGACCGAAAAGTCCCAAAAACAAACTTTAAATTCAATTCAACAAAATACAGATGATTATTTTTCATATCGTAAATCTGAAGCAAAGGGGAAGTCCACCAATTTCGTTGTAGACCAACCTCAAACTCCATCTTCTATTAATTCTTCGTACGATGATTACGACTCTTCTGAGTCAAGTTACAGCAGTCATTCAAGATCTTATTCTTCAGATAATGGCTATCTCTATAAAACAAAACATTCAAGAGATCATAGATCATTATCATTACCAAACAGTCCTTTGGAATTTTCTCGTCGTCAATCATCCTCTTATCTCTCTCATTGTTCTTTGTATTCGGAATCTCGTTATGAACCACTAAAATGGAAAAAGAAACTTGATGCTAGAAGACGATCTTCTTTAAGAATAAAAAACAACTCTTCACCGGTTTCCGAACCAAATAATATACCTTATTCTTATAAAGAAGCAATGGATAAAATTTGTGGAGAAAATCATTTTCTCACCACTTATCAAGAATCGGATTCATCCTTTCGTCGATCTGACGATGACTTTTGCAATTCCACTCCAAATACTTCAGTTACTGCGTTAAGTAGTGTTAATGACGAAATTACTGAAGATCTTTCTTCTTTAGATCCAAAACTTCTTTTTGGTTCTGAAACATTTTATTCTTTACCAGAATCTCATGTGTTATACCTAATTCAAAAGGATGATGTTGGCGGACATTCTGAAGTTGTTATTTGGCAAAGTCTTATCGAATGGGGTAAAAGAAATACTCCAAAATTAAATTTTGATAAAGACGTTAATAAATGGTCTCCAAAAGACTTTGAATCACTTGCAAGAACATTACGTAATTGTATTTATTGGATTCGATTTTCACAAATGACTCCAATTGAATTTCAAATTTATGTTATACCATACAGACCTATTATTCCTCAATATATTATTGGAGACTTTTTACGTCAAAAAATAACAGATCATTCAAAAGTTTCATATGCATTGGCACCTCCAAGAATTCCAACAACCTCGATAGAATCAGACCTAATTACAGGTCGACACGCTACAATTTTGAGTCAATGGATTAAAAATGAAACTCATGAATCTGTAGAAGGAAAGCTTTCACATAGATTTAACCTTATTTATCGAGCAAGTAGAGATGGAAGTACATCAAAAGATTTCCATTTACATTGCGATAATCAAGGCCCGACTATTTTAGTCGTAAAACTTTCTGGGTATAACATATTTGTTGGTGGATATAACGCAATGAGTTATAAAGAATCATCAAGACGTTCTAGCCTTTCATTATCTAGAAGAAATTCAATAAATAAAAAATTGGAAGATCTTGCACAACAAAATTGTTTCATCTTTTCTTTTGAAAATTCATATTTCCCTGAACAGACAGCAATTATTAGTAGAGTAATTCCGGAATATAAAAAAGAGGCAATAATAAGGCACAGTTGGGGCGGACCATGCTTTGGAAAGGGGGATCTTTTGGTTTGTCCTGACAAGAACAATAAAGTTTTACAAATTCACCCAGAATCCTATGAACTTCCTATAATAAACTCTAATAGTAGGAATTTTAGATGGGATGACTTTGAAATATTTCAAGTTATTGATATTTGATCAATGAACATTTGGTTTTCGTGACTCCATTTAATCAAAAGAAAAAAAACTCCATTACCATTACTACTTAGACTTCATTATTATAAAAATTTTAGCATTTTTTTTTTTAAATTTGTGCCTTGGATTATTGTCAACCTAGTTCTTTGTATATATTGAGATTTATCTTTTTAAATACAATTTACAAATTGTAAGGGACTTTTTTTTTTCTTTTGTAATTTTTTTTTATTTATCGGGGAGTTTTTTTTTCTTTATCTCTTTTTTTTTTTTTTTTTTTTTTTTTTTTTTTTTTTTTTTTTTTTTTTTTTAGTTAATTATATTTTTGTTTTTTTTTAAAATTTTTTTTTTATTATTATAAT